AACAAAACTTGGCTGTGGTCATCATATTTCAGTTAATGAGATGAAGATCTGATATTTGCCGACGACCGTCGACGGTACCATCACATAATTGTGACATAGGAAAGACCTAGACTTCCTTGAAATCTCCTCCTGCCCAGTGACCGAAAAGGGGATTCGTGACAGTCTGACGTGGTGGTTAACGTGTCGAGATTGTGCGCTGGGTTCGAGTCCCGCTGGGGGGCTGATGAGGACGAGGTCGCACTTGCAGTCCACTCCTGTCTGGATGGGAATACCCTTTGAGGAGAACGACAGAGTGTGAAATTCAATGGAAACCTAAGGTCTAGCCAGATAATTGTGGGAATATTCAACAATCAGTCCTTCATCAGCTTAAAAGAGGCAGATTGAATACAACCCTTCTATCAGATCTACCGGTGGGATGGATAAACAGCAAATAAGTGGGCTACAAGCCTGTGAATCGTTAAAATGCACTATGAAACACTCAATGTGTCGCCTTAAATGACCCGAGAAAAGTCGAGTTGTGCGACTGGCAGCGAGTGATGAACGGGCAGGAGGAGAAAAAGAAGCAAAATAAAGACCAACTGACTGTCCTCCAAGTGTCCAACATCCATTCCACCGGGCCGGTCTTCCAAGAGTGGCTCGCGCCTCTTTCGTCGCCGGACGAAGGGAATCCTGCGCGTCCGGTGTCCTCTGCCGACTGGCCGATGGCACCGTCGGTCTCACAACTGGGCTGGACGAGTTGCGAGAACAGACTGGCAAGACCCAGCATGCGAGCGAACAGCCGATGTCCCGTCAGACGGAACTCAAACAACAGTCTGCGCCCGAAACTGGTGAGCAAATGGTTCATGCGTTCGGGATGAGTCGCCTCGGTCGGAGAGGCGAACGAGTCTGCCCGACGCCCTCGTGGCCGAGCCTGAGACGAGAGGGATTCGAGCCGAGCCACGTCCGGCCGGAGAAGGAAGGCAATCGAGTTGGCCTGGTTCACGGGGCCGGATTGTGACTCGGTCGGCAGAGAGGCTGTCGGTGTGAAGACAAGGTAGTGCGAGAGAGCATGGAGGATGGCGGGTTCCAAGGTCATCTCCTGGAAGGGTCGAGTCGAGAAGAGACAAGTCAACAAGCGGCATGCAAGTGAGTGTGAGAAGATAAAAATAAAAGGTGTCTGTCTAAACAACAAATGGTCTCAGACCAAACTAGTTTGAAGAGTTGGGCAATTTTAATAAGAGTCATAAAATGTAAGTGAGCAGGTTGTAAAGACTAACAGTAAATCACATATATAAGTTGTTTTTACTCTATTTCGTCATATATATATTTATATACATATTTAAATATGATCAACTGGTAGGCTCGAAAACTTACTCACTCATGAAAAAAAGTAATGTGGTCTATTGCAATGGCAAATATAATTTTGCTTAATCGACAATCCTGACATTCCTTGAAATTCACATCTGTTTTGTCATTAAGGCTATGTGAAATTCCATTTCGAGTGAAAGTGTGCGGTGAAGAGATTCGAAGGTCGGTTCCACCAGAAGACGACAGCGGATTCCCCTTGACCAGTTGTCGATTGGCTTTACTGGAGCATTCATGCTGACGCGGTTTTCGAGGCAATCTCCTTCGATTCCGGTGAAAAGGTGCTAAGCTTTCGTCCGTCATGTGACGGACATCATCAA